TTCTAATGCCCTTTATTCTTGCTTTACTTTCCAGATTGCAAGATGTCCCAAATGTGGCTTCTGGAGATACTGCTTGTCATGTTGTGTAAGTACAGTCTTTTTTTTTTTTTAACAAACAAACATTTACATTTTTATTTATATAGATAACAATGGACAAAATAAGCAGCCTATCTGTATTTGATCTGTAAGTACAGTCTTCAAGGATTATAAATGTTTTTGAGGAAAAAGTAAGCTAGTTCCTCAAAATCATGGCTGATTTATGTTACTCAGTAAAGGTGATCCAAACTTAATGACCACTTGTGCAGCCATTATTCAAACTTGTGATTGTGCTGAATGAGTGATACTTCCAATAGGTTTTTAGAGTTCCAGCTATTCCAATGATCATGGGAGCCAAAGAGCCGTGGGGGCGCAGTGATTAGAATTCAGTATTGCAGGCTAACTCTGCCTACTGTCAGGAGTTCGATCCTCACCGGTTTGAGGTTGACTCAGCCTTCCATCCTTCCAAGGTCAGTAAAATGAGGACCCAGATTGTTGGGGACAATAGGCTGACTCTGTAAACCGCTTAGAGAGGGCTGTAAAGCACTGTAAAGTAGTATATAAGTCTAAGCGCTATTGCTTTTGCTATCATGTAGTCACTCTTTGCTGGAAATCCATGGGGAAGCCACCAGGATGTCACAAAAGATAACCATATAACATCCTCATTTAATGACAGCATGGGATTTGCTTAACAGCAGCAACTGAGAGTGTCAGAATTGCTGCTGCTAAGCGGTATGTTTAGGTAAGATCATACTTTTTGACCAGGTCACTTAGCGATAGAAACTCCACTCCCAATTGCTGTTGTTAACTGAGGACTACTAGTAGGTATTCATGGAAAACAAGGCAGGCAAGATGCGTGGTTTGTACATTGTACTAACAACAGACCATGGGTATATTATGGGTCACATATAACTATTCATTTAGTGATCATTCAGAGTTACAATGGTCCTGAAAAAAGTGACTTATGACCGTTTTTCACACTTACAACTCTTGCAGCTACCCCCATGGTCTTGTGTTCAAAATTCAGACGCTTGGCAACTGGCATGTATTTAGGACCGTTGCAGTGTCTTCGGTTCATATGATCACCTTCTGACAAGCAGAGTTGGTTTGTACATTGGGGGAAGCCAGATTCACTTAACAACCATGATACTAATTTAAAAATGGAAGTGATTCACTTAACAACGAGGCAAGGCCCACTTAATATCTTGGTTAGCAAAGGAAATGTTAGGCTCAGTTGTGGCCATGAATCAAGAACCCCCTGTATTCTGCCCAAGATTGCATCCCACAATCACAACCATACAACCACTGTTTGTTTAAATGCCCATCAACTATTGACAGCATTTGATCCCATTAGCCATGTTATCCTTCTGGATGACCTGCAAAGGTAGGATATTGAGCACGTCAATCGGCATTGATTCCATTCCTCCCTAAGCAAGCAGTCAATGTGTGTTTACACATATCCATGGATGATCCAGTGCACGACATCACATCAATTTGGGATGATATACACCAATAATACTCGCCCGTATAGTGCCAGACCAAGCTGGATCAATAATGCTGCTGAATTCCAGAGCCAGTGCCTCGAGGCTGTCAGGCTTTAGATCAGGCGTATCCAACCTTGAATGGGATGCAAAAGTTGATTAGTAATCAGTGTAGCAACTGTAGCAGGCGTGTCCAACCCTGGCAATTTTGCGAGCTGTGAATGTCAATTCCCAGAATTCCCCAGCCAGCATGGACATCCCTGCTAGAGTTGCTACACTGATTACTAATCAACTTCTGCATCCCATTCAAAATGGTATTCCAAAGGTACTCTTTCAGGAGGCAACTGGACTTCCTTGTTTTTTCCTTGAAGATGTTTCGCTTGTCATCCAAGAAGCTTCTTCAGCTCTGACTAGAATTCAGGGGTAGTCAACCTTGGCTCTTTTATGACTCGTGGACTTCAACTCCCAGAATTCCTGAGCCAGCTGTGCTGGCTCAGGAATTCTGGGAGTTTGAAGTCCACGAGTCATAAAAGAGCCAAGGTTGACTACCCCTGGACTAGATGGTGGGGAGTGGAAGGATGGAGACCATCTAGTCAGAGCTGAAGAAGCTTCTTGGATGAGAAGCGAAACATCTTCAAAGAAAAAACAAGGCAGTTGCCTCGTGAAAAAGCACCTTTGGGACAGCCATGCCCTGGATGACTGAGAATCTCCGTAGACATTCAAAGTGCTAATTATTTTTCTTTATACAAGGCTCAGTCCCTGGAATTTTCAACCCACTGTATGTGTTCATTTAGGGGAGGGGGTCCCAGGGTCCACAGATCTAATGAAATAAACGGGACTTATGTTCAAAGACATTTCTTTTTTGTGCCTGCTCCACAATCCGAATATCTTGGGTGTCTTTAACCTTTTTGGGTCTTTAACAAAACCTTAAGACTTATCAATTCCACAGGGCAGTTGGGTTCCAATGCTGACTAGCTTGCCTCAATTAACATTTTGTAATTGGATGTTTCTGCATTTTATTTTCATTTTCTTTCAGCGACTCGGCATTTTGTGTGTGCATATGTGCGTGTGTGTCCTTGAGTCACAGGAAGCACACAGGACACACTTTTTTATATACTGTGAATAAACAAACAAACACATTCTTGCTTGGACTCTCATCCAAGGAATATTCCAATTTGAATGTTAGCTTAGTAGCCGGCTTGCATAGACAAAACAAGGACATACAGGCGGTCCTTGACTTACAACCACAATTGTGCACAAAATTTCTGTTGCTAAGTGAGACAGCTGTTAAGTGAGTTTTGCCCCATTTTATGACCTTTCTTGGCACAGTTGTTAAGTGAATCACTGCAGTTGTTAAGTTAGTAAACTGGTTGTTAAGTGAACCTGGCTTCCCCATGGACTTTGCTTGTCAGAAGGTCGCAAAAGGGGATCACGTGACCCAGGGACACTGCAACCGTCATAAATATGAGTCAGTTATCAAGCATCCGAATTTTGATCACGTGACCCTGGGGATGCTGCAACAGTCGTAAAGTCATAAGTCACTTTTTCAATGCCCTTTGAATGGTCACTAAATGAATGTTTATAAGTCGAGGGTTATCAGTACTGTACTCAGATTACTATAACAATATATTAAAAAGGGTCAAAACCTATAATAAACCTAAGTTTTACTTTTTCCCAAGGCCTTGGTATGCCAAAAAACAAACAAACCATAATGCACTTTGGCTGTACTTAGTTCAAGGACACAGTCACTGAGAAGGGGTGCTTTCTGCAATCCACAAAAGCTGAAGAATCCCCCCCCCATACACTGTATTTTAGAACTTTAACCAGGAAGTGGCAGAAAGAATCTTATAGCTGCTTTTATTCTCTGCAGCTACCGACCAACAGGAATTTCAAAATCACATCCAAGTTGCTAAGAAAGTTCAGATCCTCCCATCCCCATATTGGGGTCGTCTGGGAATAACCAGACCTTGTATATGGGGTCAGCAGACAAAAATTGGATTATGAGATTTTGACAGCCAACCTTAGAAATGCTGCTTCAGGCCTTCCACCTTTGGTAAATTGTAACCTTCCACACACCTTGCTAACCTATTCCTAGAGTACCCTTACGAGCATATCAGGCTGATGTAGCCAATGTTAATTCCTCAAATCCTGCAAGATCACAGTTTTTTCATGGCTACATCCACAGTCTCTATAGGACAGTGGTGGCGAACCTATGGCACGGGTGCCAGAGGTGGCACTCAGAGCCCTCTCTGTGGGCACGCGCACCGTCGCCCCAGTCCTAGGCCTTCAGCTGGGTTTTATAAAACCTTTTCGCTTTAGGCCTCCGCCGCCGTGTGCAAAAAAAAAAAAAAGGTTCAATCAGTCAATTTCAACTTCTCACGGGAAAAAAAATATCTTGCAAAGTTGGAATTGATTGAACTTTTTAGTCCCACCCAGTCTGCCGTTACCAGCGCAGCCACGCCCACCCAATGGGCCACACCCACCCGGCACCCGACGATGCATAAGTGGGTTTTGGGTTGTAGTTTGGGCACTCGGTCTCTAAAAGGTTCGCCATCGCTGCTATAGGAGCAAGAACTAGGAACAGCTAACCAGCTTCTGCTGCTGCTTTCCAACAACAGCAGTAGCATGAGGTAGCCTTCAGACCGCTGGTTCAGGGGTTTCCAACCTTGACCATTTCCAGGTAGATGGACTTCAGCTCCCAAAATTCCATAGCCAGCATAGCCATTGCTGAGAATTCTGGGAATGGAAGTCCACTCACCTTCCATTTGCCAAGGTTGGGAAACCTTGCTGCACTGGTATGAGGGAGGAGGGAAAATGAAGACATGGACATTTACCATCTTAAGGCACCCAACAACCAGAGGTTTATTTTATGGAGCCCATGCAAATTAGCATGAAAGCACCAAATATTTGTTCCTTAATGTATTCCAGCAATTCAGTAAATCAAAAATTGCAGCTCTATCCAGAATGCAAATACGTTTTGTCCTGGTGGTGAATATTGCGTTTTCTTGCCTGCTCCACCACCTGGAAGAGCAGTTTCTTTTCTCCATAGCTCTGTTTAATGGAGACTGTATAAGGGGAATGAAATAACATGTTAATTCAGAATTATTTAATTCAGAATCATTTTAATTTGCTTTTCAGTCTGAATTAGATATAAACAGAGTTCGCTCTCCTCCTCGCCACCCTTTTTTTACATCACACAAATTACATCCGTACTGATTTCTGCTGAGGGCATTAGCATTTTAATCAGCCATGCCACACTGTATCTGGCAGGCCAACTACAACTCAAGGTGTATTGATTTTTTTTAAAAGAAAATCACATCCTCCATGAACATAAACGATGAATACTTTTTTAAAAATTGCAGTTCTGTGTAGCAGCCCGATGACATCTCTTTACGCTTTGAAACTTCCAGAATATTTCTATCCTGGCAGCATGGGTTTTTTTTTTCTTTCATATATCATCTGTAATTTGTTTCTTTTCTAGCAATGCTGCCCCGGATGAGCTCTCTTCCTGATCTGTGCCATGAAGTCAATTGTGAGAAAGGATATGTTTGCCGAGCTATTCACAATCAGGCAGAGTGTTTTCCAGAACCCCAATCCTGCAATTCTGTCCAATGCCAAGAAGGGACCCTCTGTGCAATAGTCGATGGCTTTCCCAGATGTGTTCCTTACCCGCCCTCTTGCCATCAGGTCCAATGTAAAGAAGGGACAATTTGTAGCCTGACAGATGGCTTCCCCAAATGCGTTCCTGTGCCGCAATCCTGTGCCTCCGTTCAGTGCAAAGAAGGCACCATCTGTGCCATTATTAACAGTTGGCCTCAGTGCATTACAAGGCCTGCGTCCTGCCAAAACATCCCATGCAACCCAGGAATGGTGTGTGAACTCATTAATGGCTGGCCGCAGTGTGTGCCTCACCCGCCTTCCTGTCACAGCGTCCATTGCAAAGATGGGACCGAGTGTCAGATCGTTCACGGCCAGGCTCAGTGCGTTCCAACCTCTGCCTCGTGCAGTGAGATCCTGTGTGAGAAAGGAACCATGTGTGAGATGGTCCATGGCCGAGCCAAGTGCGTCCGATTGCCACCATCCTGCCTCCATATTGAATGCAGACAAGGGACCATGTGTGATATGGTTGATGGGTGGCCAAAATGCGTCCCAAGTCCAACTTGCAAAGATTTAAATTGCGAAGCTGGTACCGAATGCAAGATGGTGAATCACCTGCCCAGATGCTTGCCTGTTCCACTCTCCTGTGACCAAATTCACTGCAGGCCTGGGTCTGTATGTCAGCTGGCAGATGGTCAGCCCTTATGTGTGCCCATCTCACCCTCTTGCAACAGGATCCATTGTGAGGAAGGAACAATCTGTGAGATCCTTGACGGTGTCCCCAGATGTGTGCCTGCCGTCACCTCCTGTAACAACGTACAGTGCCCGACGGGAACCATCTGTGAAATGATCAACAATTGGCCCACCTGTAGGCCTCGCCCACACTCCTGTGAGAGCATTGTGTGCAAGAATGGAACGGTCTGTGACATCGCCGATGGTTGGCCAACTTGTATTCCAGTTGTGCCAACAACTTGTGCGGCCATTGTTTGCAGAGAGCAAGCTGTGTGTGAAATGGTGAATGGTGTACCAACCTGCACACCCATCCCACTGTCTTGTGACAGATATAAGTGCAGACAGGGAACTATTTGTGAAGTTGTCCGTGGATGGCCCATGTGCATACCTTTGGCATCTTCATGTGAGAAAATAGAGTGTGCACAGGGCTCTGTTTGTAACATAATTGATGGCTGGCCTAAATGTGTCACTGCCCCACCCACTTGTGACCAACTTCAATGTAAAGTAGGAACCATCTGTGAAAAAGTAAATGGCCAGCCTGCGTGTGTTCCACTCCCTCCCTCTTGTGATCATGTCTATTGCCAAGAAGGGACAGTTTGTGAAATCATGGAAGGATGGCCGAGATGTGTTCCAATTCCCGCATCCTGTGACAAAATCAACTGCAGACCAGGGACCACTTGCAAAATAATTGATCACTGGCCTCAGTGTGTCCCCATCCCACCTACCTGTGACAAACTACGCTGCAAAGATGGCAGCATTTGTGAAATTGTTGATGATTGGCCCATGTGCATGCCCACTCCAGCTTCCTGTGATAAAATCGAGTGCAAAGAAGGAACTATTTGTGAAATGGTTGATGATTGGCCCAGATGTAGCCAAATCTTGAACTCTTGTGAAAAAGTCCACTGCCAGGCAGGGACCAAATGTGAAATATATGATGGGTTTCCAAAATGCATTTCTGTATCTCTTTCCTGCAACAATTACCGTTGCAAAGAAGGGTTTGTTTGTCAGATCGATAATGGTTGGCCAAAATGTGTTCCTGATCTTTCTCCTTGTGAAAAACTCAACTGCAGTGCAGGAATGATATGTGAGACACTTCACGGGCAGCCCAGATGTGTCCCCATCACCACCTCCTGTGCTAATGTCATCTGCCAGGAAGGAACCATTTGTGAAATCAACCATGGTTGGCCTAAATGTGTTCCCATCTCTTGTGCAAACTTCAAATGCAGAGAAGGGACTGTGTGTGAACTATATGATGGGCATCCGAAATGTCTCCCCATCTCACCTTCTTGTAACCATTTTCAGTGCAGCTCTGGAACAGTTTGTGTAATCAGCCATGGTTGGCCCAAATGTGTTCCTATCTCAATCTCTTGTGAGAACTTCAAATGCAGTGAAGGAACTGTGTGCGAGATATATGAAGGACAGCCAAAATGCCTTCCTAGATCCCCCTCTTGTCATCAATTCCATTGTAAGAGTGGAACGGTGTGTCAAATAAACAATGGCTGGCCACAGTGTGTTCCGATTTCCCCTTCTTGTGGAAATGCCAGTTGCAGCATTGGGACCACATGCCAAATGGTTTCTGGCTTGCCCCAGTGTGTTCCTACATTGCTGTCATGTGATCAATTCACCTGCCATGAAGGAAGTGTTTGTAAAATGGTTGATAACTGGCCAAGATGCCTTCCTATCCCATCCTCATGTGATAGGTCAAACTGCCAGGAAGGTACCATTTGTGAGATTGTTAATGGATTTCCAACTTGCATCCCAATTCCATCGACGCTGTGTGCTTCTATGCATTGTCAAGCAGGAACTGTGTGTCAACTCATTGGTGGAAGCCCACAGTGCGTGCCCAGCACACCTTCCTGTAGCCAGTTTCAGTGTCCTGCTGGGACTATCTGTGACATGGCCAGTGGATGGCCCAAATGCATTCCTGTACCAACCTCCTGTGAAAACACCCATTGTCAAAGTGGGACTATTTGTCAAGTTATAAATGGTTGGCCCAAATGTGTGGCCCCTGCACATTCATGCCAGACAACTCAATGCTGGGAAGGGACTATTTGTAGAATGGTGGAAGGTTCACCTAGATGTTTTCCTGCTGTATCTTCTCATGCAACGTGTTGGGCCTCTGGTCAGCCCCATTATCACACGTTTGATGGACGCAGCTTTGATTTCCAAGGTAGCTGCACTTATACGGTGGTTAAGACCTGCAGAACCAGCTCCAAGCTGCCATTCTTCCATATCTTCACCAAGAGTCAGAAGAATTCCCCTTTCTCTTTCATCAATCATGTCACCATCACCATCTACAACTCCAGCATCACCATGATCAAGCACGAGTATGGCCTTGTCAGAGTAAGAACCATCTTTGTACTGTTTCATTATTTATTTTTTTACTTATTTACATTTCACATTTCTTAACAACCCATCTCCTTCATTTAAACATTGAGAAAGTGCTGATGGCTTAACTTCAGCTGTACCAAATAAAATTCTGCTTATGAGAGACAAAAGAAAGCAGGTAAAACACATTTCTTTTGGTAAGCCAGTGCTGAAAATTGATAATCTAATAGTTATAGAAACTTATGAATCTGCGTTATGCCAGAACAGACAATAGGCCATTACACTAAGCCATTAAAAAGTGCATGGCTTATAAGAAGGATGTCCAATCTAAAGTTGTCTTTGGCAACTTTAAGACTTATGGACTTCAACTCACAGAATTCCCCAGCCAGCCTTTCTGGGAATTGAAGTCCACAGGTGTTAAAGTTGCCAAGATTGGGCACACCTGGCTTAGAAGCAAGTCATTGTGGGCTGGAAATCAGGATTTGTGGCTTTCTGTTTTAGTATTTAGGCAACTATATCTTCTTGTATTGCCTTCCTATCCTATGTGTCCTTGCTGTACTTTTTTTTGCTACCGTGTGACACAGAATGAACGCTGGATTATATGGCTCTTTAGCTACTCTTAATGTTCTTAAATTATAGCTAAAACCAACCATGGGAGCACACTCACATACTGGCTCAGTAGGGTAGGTTTTGTCCAGTTCTGGCCCTCCAGGATCTCACCCATTGATTAGTAACTTGAGCTCCCTTTTAACCTGAAGTTAGTAGATATTGGAATTGGGAAAATGTTCTACATCCATAGCATAGCATAACTTACTACCTATGTAAGTTATCTGCTTTCATAGGACTGGAAGGAGTATGATGATAAATAAACCTACCTTACTGATAAAAAAAAATGGGTCAGCATATTACTGAAGATGTTTTTTCTGGGATGCCTATAGGCATCTAGTGGTTCTCTATGGGAACAAGAAGTTAGGCAAGAAGGACCCTTTTGAAGTTTAACTCTCAAAATGCCCATCTTCTCTTCCATTTTAAAATTTCTATTAATGCAACCCAATCCATTATCTTTTTTTAATGCTTCTGAAAATGAAATTACAACGCACGAGCTGCTTGGGTGTTTTGTTGCAATCCAATTCGTCTGTCAAATATGTAATCTTAAAAACAAATGATAATCACTGGCCTCTGTCTCTTCTAGATCAACCAGGTACGCTCTCGTCTGCCTGTAAGTTTATACAATGGGGTGGTCTCCATATACCATCGAGGAAGCCAACTAGTTATTGAAACACAGTTTGGCCTGAAGGCTTACTATGACTGGAACTATTACCTAGTGGTGAAGGTCACTGCAGCTTTTCAGAGTCAGATTTGTGGCCTTTGTGGCAACTATAACGGAGATCCCAATGATGACTTTGCTACCCCTTCGGGAAGCTTGGCCGCCAACGCTGTGGAATTGGGCAAGAGCTGGAAAGTAGAAGATGGAGATCTGGCTTGCAGACACGGCTGCCATGACAGATGCCTGCGGTGTTCTGAAGAGTTAGCAGCCAGATACAACACAGAAAGTTTGTGTGGCATGATTGTTCAACACAGGAGTGGTCCTTTCCATCGCTGCCATTCCTTGATTGATCCCAAGCCATATTTGAATGACTGCGTAATTGATTTATGTGCCTTTGAGGGCTACAAGCAGATTTTGTGTCGAGCCCTGAAGACTTATGCTGATGCTTGTCAGAGAGAAGGGATGGCAATATCTGCCTGGAGGAAGCACGCTGGCTGCCGTGAGTAAAGCCTGGGATTTATGGAGATAGGGCTCCCACTAGTTTACAGTGACAGGCAGTCGTAGAAGGGGACTGTCATTCCGGAATGGAATGGGTGTGATAAATCAGTGTTGCATATATGTATAGCCAGACAGATGTTGCAGGTAAATGGGATAGAGATTGACTACAACATTACATTTAAAAGGAAACAGTTCTCAGAAGAGGTGAGTTGATGGGCTGCTGAAAATAATCAGAAAATAAGAACATTGATTATATTAAGATGGATGGAGAAGAGGGACGATGAAAAGAGAGCCAGAGAACCAGCCAATCTATATAAGAATGGGTGACTTGGCCAATAAAAAGCCCTTTCTTCGGTTGCTTATTTAAGTGTTTATAAACAGATAGAGCCATGGTACTCCACAATTGCCTTACCTGCATTACAGCCACTGTATTCTGCACCAAATGTAATTTTTGAATGTTCAAGAGTAGCTCCATGTAGAGGAGAGCACTCATGCAAGGTGAGTGACTGAGAAAAGGAATTTCTGGTTTGGAAAGGATGCATTTGGGGCAACCGATAAATTTGTGTAAAAGCTTTGCTGGTCACATCTGCCACTTGCTCCTAGAACAGGAGCTGTGAGTCCAGAAGGACCCCAAATTGCACAGCAGTTTCATTTGAGGAAGTGCCACACCACTCAAAACCAATGGAAGAACTATGCCCTTACTTCAGTGTGGTCAGGCTTGAGTTTAAAGCAGGGATGTCCAACTTCGGCAACTTTAAAACCTGTGGACTTCAACTCCCAGAATTCCACAGGCCTTAAAATTGCCCAGATGGGACACCCATTTTAAAGCCTGTTGTTCCCCATCCAGATGCTAACAGCTTCAGACATGGGACCAAGGCTTCAATAGCATTACTTAATCAACCAGGGGCCTAAATATATAGCTAAGTATCACCAGCATATCAATAATATCTGATCCCATGTTGATGGATGACCTTAACCTGGATATTAAACAAGAGGGTGAAACATCAATTCCCAAGGCACTCCACAAACTTGGAATCTTATCAGTTTCATTGCATTTTATTATATAGCAAAGATGAGATCTTGTACAAGAACATCTATAGCTAACTATGTTTGTTCTTCCTTCTACAGCCTTGATCTGTCCTAACCACAGCCAGCACATGGCCTGTGGCACAGCCTGCCCTGCCACTTGTAGCAACCCTGATGCGCCAAAGAAATGCCACCTGCCCTGCATGGAGATCTGTCAGTGCAAGCCAGGTTATGTGCTTGATGGTGGCAAATGCATTCCCAAAGAGCAATGTGGCTGCATCTATCACGGCCAGATCTATGCTCCCAACGAGCAGTTCTGGGGTGATCAGCAGTGTCATCAGCAGTGTGTATGCAACCCCCGAGACAGGAAGGTGGTCTGCCACGGCTCCACTTGCAGGGAAGGAGAAGGGTGCCATGTGATTAATGGCGTAAGAAAGTGTCATCCAACTTTCTATGGGACCTGCACTACCTTGGGTCAGCTGCATTATATCACCTTTGATGGACTGCAGTTTGACTTCCATGGAACTTGCATTTATCGTTTGGCTGAGCTCTGCTACAAGACGCCAAACCTCACTCAATTCCAAATCCTGGTTCAGCACCAAGGACAGGGATCTGAAACTCCAGCTGCTACCAAAGTACTTGAGGTCCACGTTTACGGGATGGCAATCCTTATCAGCCATAGCAAAGTCTTGGTGAGTACAGTACAGGTAATTAATCAATGTATGACCACAATTGAGCAAGCCAGTGAGTTGTTAAGTGAGTTTTGTCACGCTTTATGACCTTTCTTGACACAGCTGTTTAAGTGAGTCCCTGCAGGTAAGTTAGTACAAGTAGACCTCGACTTATGAAATGTTGAGCCCCAAATTTGTGTTGCTAAGTGAAACATTTGTTAAGTAGGCTTTTCTCCATTTTACAACCTTTCTCGCCATAGTTGTTAAGTGAATCACTGCGGTTAAGTTAGGGTTGTTAAACGAACCTGGTTTCCCCATTGAGTTTGCTTGTCAGAGGGTTTCAAAAGGGGATCACATAACCCCCGGGACACTGTAACTGTCATAAATATGAGTCATGTGCCAAGTGTCTGAATTTTGATAACGTGACCAGAGGGATGAGTCCCAAACGTCATAAGTGTGAAAAACAGTCATAAGTCACTTTCTTCATTGCCGTTGTCACTTCGAATGGTCACTAAATGAACTGTTGAAAGTCGAGGACTGCCTGTAACATGGTTGTTAAGTGCACCTGACTTCTCCATTGACTTTGTTTGTCAGAAGGTTCCAAAAAGCGACCACATGACTCCAGCACCCTGCAACCGTCATAAATACAAGCCAGTTGCCAAGCATTTGAACTTTGATCACTTGACCATGGGGATGATGTAACAGTTGTAAGCGTGAAAAAGTGTCATAACTCACTTTTCTCAATGTCATTGCAACTTCAAATGGTCACCAGGCCAATGGTTATAAATCAAGGGCCACCTAACATCTTCTACCCTTCTCCTATTTATACTTGTGTGATTCTTTGAGTGGATATATCACCTTGATTTCTGGAGGGTTTGTTATCCTCTCAGAAGAGAACGAGAAATCAAAACAGGATGATTGGGAAATTGTTAATTATTGATCAGAAATTGTAAACCTCTTTCATTTGCATATCACTCTTTTAGGCAAAGGCAAATAACCTGCTATTCTCCAGATGTTACTTAAACTACCCCTTCCAACATTCCTCATTTTTAGCTGTAATTCCCAAGGATGTTGGGAGTTATAGCGTATCAGCAGCTGGGGTGTCCTATTCCTGTTCTAAGGAAAAATCTACCATGCAAATTTTGCAGGAGTAGAGATAACAAATGCCTGCCCCCACTGCTCAAATTAAAAAAGGAAATTGAGGGAGCCCCTGCCTCCAATTAAGGAACTCTTTCCCAAGAAAAGAACAGCTGGCCCCCCCGTGCAATCTTGTTTTAAACAATAATTGAAGGCATGCTTGTTCACTCAGGCATATTTAAGATAATTGGCTCGTGCAAGAAGGTTTTGATTTATTTCAATGAGGCACTTTATGCTGTAAAAGCAACTTGAGTGGCCTTATCAGGGTGAAGAGGCAACATGATTTAACTCAATGAGCTGCTTCTCATCACTTTGCACTCCCCTTTTAGCCTCCTCTAGCAGTTGCAAAATCCAGAAGAGAGGTTTGTAAAGGTACTGGGCGTCCCAGAAACCTTTCTACTACACCAGAGATCCCCAACCTTCGGGGTACCAGGGACCGGTTCCGTGGAGAGAGGTTTTTCTACGGACCGGAGGGGGCATGGTTTTGTTTATTTGTGCTGACTGGTTGCTGGCATGCTGCAGCCCGGTACCGATCCCTGTACTACACAACTGTGTAGCTGTTACTGAGGCAGGAAAAGTAAAAAGGCAGTCAGCTCTTGGGAAACCACCCAACCCTGTTAACTTATGAAGCAGCTTCAGGCACTTATTTTGCTCCGTCATCGAAATGGAACCCCCTTGTGAAGTTCTATGTGGTTCTTGAGCAAAGGTGGGCAATTATGGCCCCTTTATGACCTATTATTAACTTTAAAGTGTTCCATTTTACTGTCACATGTCTTTCTCCACAGGGCTCTAGGAAAGCATTCAGTAACAGTCCACTTTCTATCATACTTGTTCACAGAGCTCTATATAAGCTTTTTAGCAGAGCTGCAAGGGGCTGGGCCAAATTCTAGCAATCCACATTTTGAGTCAAGGTTCAAGAGATGAAACCATAGCATAGACTAGAGTAAAAAAAAAACTGATTAATTGCAATAAGCAGAGAATAGCACAAGGTTGAACTGTTGCGTTCTTACAGGCTTGAGAGTTTGCTACTCCTGCTGCAGATGTTTCATTGCCAGGCTAAGTAGCAGCATTAGTCCATGGTGGAATGCCATTTTCTGGCTGTTTATATATACTGTACTAACTTGTCCTTTTAGCCTTGCTTCCTTCATCGCTCTTTGAATATTTTCTTTCTTTCTTTCTTGATTGTTCCTGTTTATCTGGTACTAATCCTGTTCTCTGAGTCCTAGTTAACGGATCAAGGAATTCACCCTGGCAGATATAAAGATATGCAGCTTCAAAGTAAAACTGACCCCAAAGTTATTCTAGTTAGAAACCTGCTTTCTGAGTGAATTTTTAATACTCAAGCATTCTGCACTCCCCAGCCAAGCAGAGATGAAGCTAAGAAGCTTTGACTTTGCTAGAATTTGATTACACAGAGCTTTTAAGTTTCCCCTGCCCATGGTCATTCTTTCACCTTCTGCTTCTCCAGCTTTTTTTTTTCAACCTATATTTTCAATGCTGTGGGTAGTCTCGTCTCCTGATCAGAGTATTCAGGAATAAGTGCAAGTACTGGGGCTTGGTTCTGGTACATCTGCAAAATTGGGTAGCAATAAAAGAGAATAGCTCAGGGTTGAAATAAGGGGTCCTTGGTGCTCTCTGGACTTGGTTGTTTTCTTGCAGATGTTTCATGACTCAAACTAGGTAACTACCAAACAAGCCCAACCAAAGAACCCCCAAGGCCACCCCCCACCAACAGTGAAGGGCAAGCCAGGAGAATATAAACTGAGAGCAAACCTCACTCCTTGCTAGCCTTAATTATGTTACCTAGTTTGGGTAATGAAACGTCTGCAAGAAAACAACCAAGCTCAGAGAGCACCAAGGACCCCTCAAAATTGGGTATACCAGCTTGGTCTTCCTCTAAGGAAGAAAACACATCTGGCTGAGCCCTAATCATCTCTGTATTTACTGGTGGGAAATTGCGTGAATGGAGAATGCCAGAAAAAAAAATGAGGTATCAGGCAAAAGAGGAAATAGCCTCGTTAAAGTGTAGGTTGAAAGAAACCTCTGAAAAGGCCTGATGTATTTTCAAGGTGGGTATCTTTATGCTTTTCCAAGATTGAGACCTGAATGCTTCTTCCATCTGGATTCACCCTAAAAGATTTGTTTAATATATATTGTGAAATGTTCTCTCTCTCTCCCCCACCCCTTGCTTTTCAGCTGAACGGCTTAATGATCAACCTCCCTTACAATGTTGACTATAACAAAATTTCCCTCTACCGCCTGGGATGGGACATTGAGATCATGACCGATTTTGGTTTAATGGTCACCTTTGACATGAAGAATAATATTCGTATCTCAGTGCCAGGAAGCTACAGGGGAAGAACGTGCGGTCTCTGTGGCAATTTCAATGGGAAAGTAGAAGATGACATGATGCAACAAAGTGGAATGCCAACAACAGATCCCGGAGAGCTGGGCAGAAGCTGGAAGATCCGGGATATCCCAGGATGCCATGAGAAGGAAAGAGAGTCCTGTGTGGACATGGTGCATTTGGAGTACACGCAGAGAATGAGTAAGGAGTGTGGTCTCCTACTAGACGTACATGGCCCATTCAAGAGCTGCCATAGCAAGGCGCCGCCTCACTCATACTTCCAAAACTGTGTCTTTGATTACTGTTCCAATAAGGGCAACAAGAATGTCATCTGTCACATTATCTCCTCCTACGCTGCAGCTTGCCAAACATTAGGGATCGAGATTTCCGAGTGGAGGTCCGTCCGCTTTTGCAGTAAGTAAGGATGGGCAAACATATATTGCTTTCTTACGGGAAGTTCTCAACTTACGAGCACAGTTGGGGCCAGAACTTCCATTGCTGAGCAAGGCAGGTTTTATCTGAGTCATGCCTGATTTTACAACCTTTTTGCCATAGTTATTAAATGCATCACTGCAATGTTGTGAATCCCATGGTCATTAATCCAGCTTCCCCCATTGACTTTGCTTGTTGGAAATACCGTGTTTCCCCCAAAATAAGACCAGGTCTTATATTAATTTTTGCTCCAAAAGACGCATTAGGGTTTATTTTCTGGTTAGGGCTTATATTCGGGGAAATACGGTACAAAATGTGTCTGTCTGGCTGACAGACACATTTTGATTGTCCCTCTTTAACTGGGGCTTATTTTGGGGGTGGGGCTTATATTACAAGCATCCTGAAAAATCATGCTTATTTTCTGGTTGGGTCTTATTTTGGGGAAAACACGGTAGGCTGGGGAGGTCGCAAATGGTGATCCCGTGACCCTGGGACCCTGCAATTGTTGTAAATACAACAATTTTGATTATGGGGGTGCTGCAATGGTCATAAGTGAGAGGGCTGATTGTAGGTCACTTTTTTCAAGGCTATTGTAATTTTGAATGGTCACTAAGTGAAGGGTTTCAAGTTGGGGATTGCCTGTATCGTGTCCACAGTTTGTCTGTGCAAATTTTATATCCACCCATTTCCATAACATTGACAAATGTTTTTATGCAAGCAAAACAGTTTTATACAAATCTGGCAAATGTATTGTTTTGGGTCAAAACCACTCTATGCAGAGATCTGATTAGTTTTATACATTTCCTTAATGTCCATAATTTTATGTACTGGAGAACAGCATCACATGAGGTAAGGAAAGGATATATGTTTCCATCTTATGGAAACAGATCAGAAATATGAATTAGGTCAGTTCCCACTGAAATTTGTGATGAACGAATTATATTCACATCCATAGCAGACTATTTATGGATAAGAAGCTTGTAGAAATTTCCTACCAAGAATGATGAGCAAAGCAACAAGCAAGCCACTTTTTTCTGAGTGAAAAAGATATGAATTATTCATTTTAATGAGAAAGTGGCTAGGGAGATAACATTCTTGCTCACCCAGACTAGAAGCTGGGTCAGCCAAAAAACGCTGTGCTTAATCATTGTGAAAAACAGAATGTTAAACTAGATCAAGGTAAGGAACGTACAGTCATCCAGATGTTCTTCTAACTACAGTTCCCAGCAATACTAGCTTTCATGTCCAATGGCAAAGGTTTGGGGGAATAGTAATTTATTAATATCTGGATGGGCAATCCTTGGATCGACTTTTGTTGTAATAAGCAGATCTACCTTCATATCTTTGTGTTCCTAGCTTCAGACTCAGAATACTATCTTGGTCTTCCTGGTTACCCAGCTAAAAACAGTCTGGCTTAACATGGTACCATCAGGTGTCCTTGATTTTAGCATTCGTAATTCAGATATTGAAAGGACATCATCACATCTAGAGGGTACCTGGAGCAGTGCATTGAAACAATGTCTAAGATAATGTTTTGTAACTCTAAGAAATTTGGACTTCAAGTCCCAGAATTCCCCAGCCAGCATTTCTGGCTGAGGAATTCTGGGAGTTGAAGTCCACACATCTTAAAGTTGTCAAGGTTGAAAAACAGTGATCTAAGAAGTCAGAAACTAATATATCTTCTTTCTTTGATGATAAAATGGGTAAGAGTTTAAGAAAACTGAACATAAAGCAATGATAAACAGTCTGGGACTCTTTTGAGGATGTGAATTTCAAATCTTCAATCTTTCATCATCAGTCATATCATTCGCAACTTATTTCAGTTGTGAAGCCAAATCTTGGTGGGGGGCGGGGTAGCAAAAGTTTCCAATCAAGATTCAAAGGGAAATTTAAGAAAATGTGATATAACAGTACTGTCTTCTGCAAAATATATCAATGTCTTCTTGTGTTCCCCAGAACCTGACTGCCCCCCAAATAGTCATTATAAAGTCTGTGCCAGCCACTGCCCTGTGACCTGTCACAGCCTCTTTAATCCAGTCCTCTGCACTGCTAATTGTCGAGAGGGATGTGAATGCAACCAAGGCTTTGTTCTGAGCGGAGACCAGTGTGTCCCCATCTCACAATGTGGCTGTGTCCACCAAGGTCTCTACTACAAGGCAGGTGAGTCTTTCTTTGTCAATGGATTTTGCAAGGAGCGATGCACTTGCCACGTCGGTGGTATCATGGAGTGCCACCGTTCCTCCTGTGGACCCCATGAGGAGTGCCGTGTGGTGGAAGGTATCCAGAAGTGCCATTCAGATGCTCCCAAGAAGAGTGGGACCTGTCATGTAGCTGGAGACCCCCACTTCATCACCTTTGATGGCTCCACCTTTGACCTTCAGAGCAACTGCACTTATACGCTGGCAAGGAGCTGTACACGTCAGCATTCCCTTCCATCTTTCTCCGTCAATATACAGAATGAAAGGCGATCCAGGGGCAAAATCTCCGTAACAAAAGTTGTATCTATCACAGCCTACCAAAACACCATTTCTCTCTTGCGAGAAAGGAGAGGCATTATCCTGGTAAGGAGATACAAATGGAAATATTACGAGTAGCGATGGGTGAGATGCTTTTTGTTGGGAGCTTCAATAGCAGATAAGTTAAAGAAGTAAATGGTTGCATCAGCCACAAGGCAATGCAAATACTGAAGGTGTACATGTTGAGATGGCCATATGAGTGTGGGTAGCGAATGATTCTAGTTATATCAGCCATCAAAAGTCTAGAGGGAAAGTAGAATATGTTGTGGGTCCCATCAATTAGGGATGTACAGGAGGAGCCATGGTGGCACAGTGGTTAGAATCCGGTATTGCAGGCTAATTCAGCTCACTGCCAGGAGTTCGATCCTGACCGGCTCAAGGTTGACTCAGCCTTCCATCCTTCCGAGGTTGAAAAAAAGAGGACTCAGATTGTTGGGGGCAGTATGTGACTCTATAAACCACTTAGAGAGTATGAAGCTGTATATAAGTCTAAGTGCTATTGTTACATCTGGTGGGACCATGAGAAAGACCCTTCTCAGTGGTGGCCCATTCTCCATGGAACATCATTCTCTCCCAAAGTATGGTTGATCCCCATTCTGTTGCTTTTCCAAAAGGCCCTAAAAACATGGATTTGTCAATGGGCCTGTGAACCCCAAATGGAGATGAAGCCAACCAAGTGGTTGATTTAATTGTGCTGCTGCTGTCATGTGTGTGGTTGTGTGTGGGCGGGTGGGGGGAGGTATGGGTTTTTATGTGGTGGGTTTTTAAATAGTGCAGCTTCCCAGAGTTGCTTATGTGTGAGTTGGGTGGCTGTATAAATTTGTTTAATAAATAAATAGACAAAGATGACATGTTTTTTTTAAGACAAATCAGAGCTAACTAGTCTTCTTCAATTGTCTTCTTGTTTCACTCTCATCCCCTTACTGCCACCACAGGTGAATGGTGCCATTACCTACTTACCTTTCCGCCTTGAAAGCGATAGTATGTGGGTCTTCTATCATGGTGACAACATTGTGCTTCGGACAGACTTTGGCTTGTTTGTCTCTTTTGACCAACTCTACCACCTGATTGTCCAGGTGCCTGAGGCTTATCAGAGCCAGATGTGTGGTTTATGTGGCAATTACAATGGGCATCCCCTTGATGACATCTCTCTGCCCACTGGCCAGCCAGCCCTAAGCGTGCAAACCTTTTCGGCTGCATGGAAAGTAGCTGCTCCTTCTGCCGCTTGTACCGAAGATTGTGCCTCCATTGTGTGTGGTGCATGTCAAGAGAGTCGGAAGGCCAGCTACATACACAGCACCCAGTGTGGCATTTTGCAGTCCCCCTATGGACCTTTCAGTGCTTGCTATTCCACCATCAACCCTACGGACTTCTACAACAATTGTGTGCATGACCTCTGCAAGGCAAGGGGGAACCCAGTTATTCTCTGCCGAGCTATCCATAGCTATGTTGCTGCTTGTCAAGCAGCTGGTGTCCAGATCAAACCCTGGAGGACAGCAAACTTCTGTCGTAAGTGCTTCTAGGGAGGCAGTTTCTATGAAGAGCGTCTCCTAAGGCAGAGTAGGGAGAATGGGAGGTGCAGGACATAAAATGGGCATAGCCACACGGGGCACATCAGTTGTCTGTCTCTCTCTGAGTTGGAAGAAGTTTCTTTGATAGCAATTCAGCTTCAGGTGTACAAATTTCCCTCCCCTCCTATCACCCATCTGTTCTCCCTCTATTGTTACTGTTACTGTTGGTTGCACAGTCAGCCAGATGTTTAGACTGGATTTGGCATTTCCATCCAGCTATCAAGTTCTTCCCAAGGACCTGAGATAGGCAGATGTCATTTGATGGTATTAAAGAGTATTTTATAATCACCCATTTGAGAAGCCCTGATCTAAGCACATTAGTTGACCTCATTCTAACATCCTCAAGAAGAGAACTTTCTCTGGCAGTAACATTTTCTCCTTGCAGGAGGAAATCCGTTGCACATTATTTGAAGAAGAGCTGTGGCTCAAGTGGGGGAAAGTACATGCTTTGCCTGCAGGAGATTATTAGTTCAAGCCCAAACAGTGTCGGAAGAGGCTTCATTTTGGCTATCAAACTAGTCAATACAGAATTCTTGAGCAATCTTTGTTTTAACATACAGCTTCTCATATTGTTATGTGTCTACTGCCTACCTTCTCTTTTCTGGATAACCTAGTCTTCTTTGTTTCTTCCAGCTATGAAGTGCCCAGTCAACAGTCAGTATGAACTCTGCACTCGGGCTTGTCCCAGCAGATGCAAAGAGGCAACTGGCATCACGAAGTGCCCCAACCACTGTGCTGAAGGCTGCCAGTGTAAAAATGGCTTCTTTATGGCAGGGTACCACTGTGCCCCCGTCAGTCAATGTCGCTGCTTCCACAAAGGCATGTGGCTTAAGGCAAGTGAGAGCAGAAGTTCTTATGATTGCAAAGTTTTGTTTTGTTTTTTATTTAGGAGATTTTTCTATCCAGCTTTTCTTCTTCAGAGAGCAAAGGTATTTCAGGTAGTTCTCGAATTACAACCGGTTGCTTAACGACCATTTGAAAGTTACAACAGATCTGCCTAGAGATCCTTATGACCCAGTTCTTAACTATGGTTGTAAGTCGAGGACTTCCTGTAGACATAACCTTCTGTCTTCCTCCAGTTTTTCTCATAACAACCCATGGAGTAGGCTGAGCTGAAAGGAAATAACTGATTGACTTAATAAAAGGATAGAGCAGGAGACATCTAGTCACTACTTAATTTTGGCTTTCTGCCTTTTCCGTTTCAATGATGCATGTTGAATGCTTCTGCAGGACTGAAGATTTAGGAAGTGGAATAGCATCTGCATAATAGCACACTGTTGGTTCTCCAAAGTAGAAGAACTATAGCTGTACGAAAGGGATCTTATGGATGAATTGGTGTTGCCAGCAAACAGAAACATGTTGGCATTCTCACTGCTGCATCCCAAAAGAGTAAAATATTAAAGGATTAGGTGGAATGAAACTTGGTTCAATAGCAGTAACTGCGAGAGGGATCTTGGAGTCCTAGTGGACAATCACTTAAATATGAGCCAGCAGTGTGCTGCAGCTGCCGAAAAAGCCAATGCAATCCTAGGCTGCATTAACAGAGGGATAGACTCAAGATCACGTGAAGTGTTAGGACTGCTTTATAATACCTTGGTAAGATCACACTTGGAATACTGATCTAGGTTTGGTCACCACAATATTAAAAAGATGTTGAGACTCTGTAAAGAGTGCAGAGAAGAGCAAGGAAGATGATTAAGGGGCTGGAGACTAAAAGATATGAAGAATGGTTGCAGGAATTGGGGATGTCTAATCTAGTGAAAAGAAGGACTAGGAATGATATAGTAGCAATGTTCCAATACTTGAGAGGTTGCCACAAACAAGAGGGGTCAACCTGTTTCCCAAAGCACTGGAAGACAAACAAGAAGCAATAGATGGAAACCAATCAAGGAGAGAAGCCACCGGGAACTAAGGAGAAATTTCCTGGCAGAAAAATTAACCAGTGGAATGACTTGCCTTCAGAATTTGTGGGTGCTCCATCATTTGAGGTTTTTAAGAAGAGGTTGGACAACCACTTGCCTAAAATAGTAAAGGGTCTTCTGCTTGGGCAGGGAACTGGACTAGAAGTCTCCGAGGTCCCTTCCAACTCTGTTATTCTGTATTCTATTCTGAATGAAAAGAAGAATGAAAATAAAAATGGGAGTAACGATGATGCCAGAGAGACAGTGGGAAAAGAGGGACAATCCAGATTAATAGAAATTAAGGAATCCATCTATCAATTCCAACAGAAGTATTGGAAGGTTGATAATTAGATATCAGATAAGAAGGTTTTGCAAATATGCCATTATCCCACAATAATTGTGACTATTATCTTATTAATGTAAGGTATAAGTACATCCTGCCACGGATGCTGGCCATTTTTTAGCTGTCACCCCTAAACCTGCCATATTTTTATTGCAGCCTGGAACTCCAACGATCACAGCCAATTGCATGGAGAGATGTACTTGTGAACGTCAAGGTCAACTGGCATGCACTCCATTCCCATGTGCATCTGGAAAAACTTGTGTACTGAATAATAACAAATGGGACTGTGTCGGGAAGGAGGGACACTGCACCATTGCCCATGAACACATCTTCACCTCTTTTGATGGAGTATCTGGAAAGCTTCCAAGCGAGGGGTCCTTTGAGATCACAGCCCTTGTCAATGCTAAGTCAAAATCTTGGTTCCGGGTGGTGGTGCAGGTGAAGAAATGTCCCCAGTGTGCGACACCCAGTGTGGTCTCTGTCACTGTCTATTTCCACAAGCTGATTGTGCTGGTGAATAAGGATAGCTCAGTTTCGGTAAGAAGCAACTCCTGGCAGATGATAGCTCTCATGTTTTATTCACCTACTCTACTTATAGTACTTTATCTCTTTCTTTCTTCTTTCTTCTCCTTCTACATACAAAATGTACAGGATTTCTAATCACCTAATTGCCTTTCCTTCTCCCTTTCCTTTTCACCTAGTTGTCTCTGTCTGACCTAGACTGCCACAACTAATGAACAAATCAATGAGGTGTAAATTTTATAATGAAAGGTACCAGTAGCAACTGAGATCCGGCTGCAATGAAGTTAGAGTCTATGTACTCTTACGAGACTAGGATGTAACACAGAGATCAAATGAAGGAAGGCGAATATACATATCATGGGATAATATTGCGGGGTCCAATCTGGGTCAGTCACCGGGATCAGAGTTTTAGCTTTCGGACTTGTACTGGAGCCCATCCTCAGGGAGCTTCTTTCTAACAGGGTGTGTGCTTTGGGCTGTTCTGTGTGTAGTATTTATATGTTGCCTGTTGTGTGTGGCTTTTTAGTGGTTGATTGGGGTGTTGATGGCTGGCCATTAAGTCATTGGCTGTTGTTTCCTTGTGCTGCCAAACCCTCACCTCCTAAGTACTTGATAAGCTGGTGCTAAATCAGCACTCCTGTTGACGGATGAGGGGCCTCTTTCCAGGCTTCAATCACTTCCCTGGCTGTTTTTGTACCCACTCATCCAACAATCTTAGTAGCTGCAAAATTTAATGTATACATCAGAGATCAAATATCTATGAGTTGGTATGGCAATTCAGGGTGGAAGAATTAGGTGCAGATTGATAAACTAGGGGGCTGAAACTGGTGAGGCTTAGGAAGAAAATTCTGGAAGAATGTGAAGCAGAATCAAGAAGAGAGAGAAGTAGATTAATACGTAGAAAAACTCAAGGACAGAGACACAGACTTCAGGAAAAATGCCAAAGGTTCGTAGATTTATAACTAATACTTGAAATTCAGGGTGAGTGGACATCCAACTGTACATTACCACCCAACTGATCCATTTGATCTATGGGATCTCATGCAAGGCCCTTACTAATTCCTCTCCTCTGAAGGCTCTGTACCCTTAGTTGTATATGAATAGGATCCACAAGGAGCACCAACAGGTGACATTCTACCTGAAATGTCCACCTCTTTCTTCTAAAAATAACAGTCTGGAAGTTAATTTGGACGTGATATTAACCAGTATGTGTAGACTTTTAGGCTGCCCAGCAGGCTTAACTGGTACAAACACCGTTATTAAGCTCGGTTAGAGTAAACGTTAGCTTGTTATGGCCTAGACCTTTGAATGAAACCAGATTATTTGGTTAATGTATGATTTCATGTATTAAGCAAACTTAGAAAATGGATTAATTCAGTAACCAGATTTTTCTGTACAACAAAAACTTTTCTGGAATGTTTTTGGTAGCACCTTTTGATTGCATAATGTAAAATGGCAGAAAATGGAAAGAGGAAATGTGATTCTCAGTAGTGGGGTGTGAAGTTTTAAAAGAGAAATGTTACAGAAATGAAGAGACTGAGCACTACCATGTAGTGATGCTAAGGGAACTGCAAATTTAGCCAAAACTCCATTCTTTGACTGTGATAAATACTGGTTTTCTAGAAGAAAATTGCCCACTTTCTAGTATTCTTATTCACCTCTGTTTTTCTCATGTATCTTCCACAATTCAGTACACAATGTCTCCAGGCAATTTTTGGATTTGCATTTTCTAGGTGAATGGGCATCCTGTTCATCTCCCAGCTCAGCCTTCCAAGGAGGTATCAATAACCTTGATCCAAGATACGGTGATAGTGGCACATGAAACAGGTGTACAGGTTCTCTATAGTACTGGTGGTGAGTTAACAGTGACAATCAGTGCAACCCTGGCCAACAAAGTGTTCAGATCCTGTGGGAACTTCAATGGTAATGGTGCAGATGACCTGAGACTTCCCCATGGTAAGAAGGCCCACACCATTACTGAGGTCCTCAACTACTGGAGAGTCAGAACAGGAATACAACAGGGTATGTAAAGATAGAAACTTATTTCTTTCTTTTTCTTAATATTTGTCTAGCTTTGCTCTCTAATTTAACTCCATATTTAGATAAATATCAAGGAGAGAAGCAACCTAAGGAGAAATTTCCTGACAGAACAATTAATCAATGGAATGACTTGGCTCCAGGAGTTGTTGGTACTCCATCACTAGAAGATATTGGACAGCCATTTATCTGAAATGGTGTAGGATTTCCTGCTTGATCAGGGGGATGGACTAGAAGATCTCCAAAGTCCCTTCCAAGTCTGTTATTCTGTTAAATTATAAAGTGAATATCATGTTCCCATCAGTGACTACAGATGCAAACATCTAAGTGTACCATAGTCTGGCACTTGACCCTTCATGTTTAAGGAAACATGTTGGTCTACTTAATGTTTGCTCCTCTTAATGTTGAAGTCTTTTCAAGCTCCATATGGAAGTGCTACACACACATCCATTGCTCTGAGGGGGGTGCATTCCATTGTTTGAAATTCAAAATACCAAACACTTTTTTCCTTTTTTTTTTTTTTTTTTTTGAAGCTCATTTCAAAATCCACTCCTATACGGCGCCTTGATTGAAGATCAGTTTTCGTAACACCAACATTCCCAGGAATGCAGTCTGGACCGTATCATGGATGGATGGAAGAGAAGATTCTTTTCTTATATGAACTCATTCAATTTGCATCTCTGAAAATCTGCATTTGACCATGTTTGGCAGTGGAGTTTACAACTAAAATGGTAAAATTATACATATTAAAAATCCACAGAAGAGTATTTGGAGAACAGAATCCACAAAGGCGTTGCATTAAGAGAAAGGGATGAGAAAGGGATTCCCCAATGTGTGCAAATTTTGTGTGAATTTTCATGTATTTTTTTTTAAAAAATGTATATTGAATACTGAATGCTGGGAAATTCAGCAAATTTGATAGATTCGCCTTTTCCTACAAGCCAGAATATCTTCTAGTACAGGGTTTCCCAATCCTTAGTGACTTTAAGCCAACATCTCTGGTTGGGGAATTCTGGGAATTGAAGTCCATACGTCTTAAAATTGCCAAGACTAGCTGTAGAATTCTAGGAATTGAAATCCCTGTGTCTTAAACTTTCCAAGGTTGGGAAACCCTGTTCTAGAGTCCCAGACCACAAGCGAGCAAATGGTCTTGTAAACACAATATACAGCATCTTTTGTTCTATTGCCAACAGCTACCTCCCACCAACTGGATTCATGTATCCTACAAACATACTTATTGGCTGAGATCACCCATGCTAAGCCCTGGTTTGTTTCTAACACTGAGCGAAGCCTACACCAAACAAGCAACACTACTAGCCATTGATTCACAAATGCTGAAGCCTCACAGTTGAGGAGATTGTACTTAATTCGGATTCTAGCTAGGATCTGCTTTTTTTAAAAAAAATCTACTTTGATATTTAACATTAGTTTACCTGCTAAACACACATTTGAAATGCAAGATCTGCTGAATTGGTATGGTTACCATATTTGAGGTGCAAAAGTTCAGTTGACCACAAGATGTCACCAGAGATTTGCACCTCTTCGCTGCTGTCTAGTGGTTATTCAGATACTTGCAATCTAGATGTGGTAGCTCTAAATATAAAATAGTAGCTGTTCACTGCATCATAAGGTTTAGATATATAGCTCTTTTTTTTGGTGAGGGAGGTTGAATGTTTTGAATCATTTTGAACTAACACTGTTGAAACTGTTAGAATCAATTAAAGCTTTTGATAAAAAGATTTTGCAGTTTTCTATGCTGTTCACATTGAACCTGTTGCAGCTTTAACAGAAACATTTACACTGTATTCATACAGTTTTATATATAAGCCATTCCTAGAAGGAAGAATTTAGCAGGCTCTGTAGACTAGTGAAAATAGGGGAGGGTAGACTTTAATTGGTTGTGATGTCTTTGGGTTTTAAATCTTTCTTGTACACAGAGGCAACCAAATGCAGGTACGCACACACAAATCCACCTAGAACTTTGCTAAAAGCTGTAGCTGTTTCATTGATTCAGCCCCGAAGATAAGTCAGAAGAATTCCGTAAGCATGTTCTCTCATACAAACCTCACATCCATCACCTGTCTTTCATTCGAAGAACCCACTAGCCCACTTTAATAAACAATGATTCCCTCATTGCAATCAAAGCTTCATGCTAGAAGCAAGAGGAGGAGGTTAAACTAAGTTCTAACTGCCATGGGGGGAAAAATAGTAATCCAAACAATGAAGTTTTGAAGCAAGATCCTTTATTAAAATACCCTATAACAATGATCTCTAGGCTGCCAGCCAAACTGGCTGAGATATAGCGAGAAAGAAAATAGATTGAGAAAAGATTTTACAGGAAATGGAAAAGGTATATTGGCAATCGTTAAGTACACAAACAGAAAAAGCACCCAAATCTACATGGGCAGTGAGGTAGTTAGATTTGGCCTTGAAAATAGCACCCCAGTTTCCCTGTTCCCGCTTATTCTGCATTTTTTTTTATTATGATGATCAGATGAGCCTTCTTCATCCTTCTCCACAAAATACAAGCCTGTGTCTTGTTATCCTCTTCATGCTCTCTTCCACAGACTAAAATTATTATGGCAAAGGGTCCTCATAGAGCGAATCAATTTTTAATTAAGAGAATCTACTTTTACAGAGTTTTAAATTCCGCATCGCTTAACTTCATTTGAGCAATTCCTATGGAAACTCAGACCTCCGAAAAGTTGTGTTTCCCAGGTCAACTTCCTTCGATGGTGAGGCTTGCCGAAGACTTTCTTCTTGATTTCAATCCACTATCCGATTAGCATCGTCAGATCAGCCTGTTCACTCTTATCCCTAGGCACACTAAGGAGTAAAAGAGAGATAAAGTCTGAGAGGAAGGAAGGGAGCTTGAGAACTAGCATCCACCCATGAACACAAAGCAGACAGGAGTTTTTAAAGAGCAACACTGCTCAACCCAAGAAAACTTAAGAGTACTAATCCCCCATCAAACCAACCTCACTGTTGAGATCTTGGTGCTCTTTTTGATTAATGTACCTGGCTTGGTTAGCTTCACTGTCTCATCTTGAGCTGTTCCTATATATAATGTGGGTTTTCCCTTATCTGTATGTTGATTGCTGGGTGTGTGATAGGGAAGTTACTGAGCCAAGTAGATCAATGAGAAAGAGGAACACAAACTATAAAATATAGGGTCAAGAGCAGCTATGCATAAGAAGTCAACCCTCACTACCTTGCATCAAAGCCCTGATGACAATGTGTAGTTTGGTGATGTATTGTTTACAAGAAGAAATACAACAGTCTATTTAGTGACCATTCAAAGTTACAACGGCACTGAAAAAAGAGACTTATGATCGTTTTTCCCACACACAACTGTTGCAGCCCATGGCCGTGGGGTCATTGTATCAAAATTCCAACACTTGGCAAATGACTCATATTTATGACGGTTGCAGTGTCCCAGGGTCATGTGATCATCTTTTATGACCTTTAGACAAGCAAAGTTAAAGGGGAAGCCATACTCACTTAACCATGTTACTAACTTAACAACTGCAGTGATTCAATTAACAAATGTGGCAAGAAAGGCCGTAAAATGGGGCAAAATTTACTTAACAAGAGTCTTGCTTAACAACAAAAAATTTGGGACTCAATTGTGGTTGTAAGTTGAGGGCTACGTATAACAAACATTGAGTTCCCAACATTTCAACCTTGAGCTACACAACTGCCACTAGGAGAGCCTTTGCACAACTCTGTCAGGAGCTGGATGTATCTTGCTCTGGATCAGAAGGCACTCTTCATTGTCATGGATATTCTAGTCACCTTCCAACTGGACTACTGTAACACATTCTCCATGGGCTGTTCCATGGGCTGTCCTTGAAGCCCTCTCAAAAATTACAAATGATCCAAAATACATTAGCACAAGTAGTAAAGGTACGTTTAGGAATGCCCAGATAACACCACTCATTTCCAAACTACAATGGCTTCCTATAGTTTCCGGGTGCAATTCAAGGTCAGTGGGGTCCATGCTGCTCTCTGAGCTTGGTTGTTGCTAGTACTGATGATGTTACCTAGTTTGGGTAATGAAATGTTTGAAAGAAAGCAACCAAGCACAGACCTTTCATTACCCTACTAGATAACATTATCAGTGCAAGTGATGTGTAGTTTGCTCTAGTTCTCCTGCTTGAGTAGGGGGCTGGACTAGAAGACCTCCAAGATCCTTTTCAGCTCTATTCTATTCTATTCTATTCTATTCTATTCTACATACAGTAGTCTGCCCTGCCAATGTTGAGGATGTGTGGTTTCCTCCTTAGAGAGCATCAAGGACACCTCAGTTCAACCTTGAGCTACAAATATTCTCCTTTATTGGTAATTCAAAGTCTGTTTACCACCTAGAAAGCCCTACATTGTGCAGGACTAGGTTATTTGTAGATAATACTATTGATAAATACTCATCCCATACCCTTCAAAAGACTGGGCATACTTCATGTTCCTTCCCTGACACAATGCCATTTGATGGGACCAGGAGACATGCTTTTCAGTTGTGACACCTGCTTTCTGGAATGATCTTCCCCCTGCAAAGTCCCACCTATGCCGCCCAGAACTTTACTGCATGCAGGGTTTTGTTTTTTTTTTCATTCATGTCAACAGAAGGAGAACCCTCAGGAACCCTGATTCTTCCTCTGAAATGGATGGAGCAGCTGGGAGACTTAAAGTACACATCAAAGCTGTTTCACTGCAAGGGAATGCGCATAAATCTGATCTCTGTTAAATATGTCCAGGAGGTCAGACTCCAGTATTTCCAGCCATTCGCTCTGGTACATTTACAGTTTCATGATTTACAACAGAATAAAATGCTGTTATCTATTTCAGAGGGGAAACGTCCTGGTGAGTGACAAATGGCTCCCACATGCAAGCATCGCCTTCTCCTGCATGGAGGGCAGCAGAAGCTTTAGCTCTGTCTGTCAAACATTAACGGCCCCTCATTCTCCTCTTCCAAATACCACTAGGTAATGATGCT